AAAGGAGGGGGGGGGGGAGTGATCAAAATTTGATGGACTCTCAGAACGGACGTTTCCCCTGAGTGAGTGCCCTTCATGAGTACCGATATTCTAGAGAGAAGAGCACGGCCCGGACAGCGCATGTCCGGGTCGCCATCCGATGTCAAAGTGTTGTCCTCAACTCATTATGCCTGTGAGGGTGTGGTGCAGTATCAACGAAATTGTCGCGTCGCGACGAGAGATACGCCGCGCGCGAAGGGATGTAGTAGAGTGCAGCAGCAGGTAAGAAATACGGGAACAAAAGTATTAATCGCATAGCGATTGTTTTGTATGAAGAACGCTAGGACGGCTATAATGAGGCAAAAGTTCCGCGACAGCCGCGTGCGGCGGATCGATTTCCAAAACCGTCCCGACTGCCCGTCTCCCTGCCTGTGATAATGCTTCGCCCGGAATACAGTTACGTCACCCAAGCAGCGGAGGTGGACATTCCTTAGGATATATATAAAGGGATTGAATATAAAGGTGAAGGAAAAGTACGACCAACACGGAAACGAACTCTTCCAGAAGGACACTTCCAATGACCGTATTCATTCCATAAATGGCGATCAGGGAGTACCCAAAGCGTAGGTAACCATTCCACAATGGTTAAGGTCAAATCTAATCCCAAAAACAAAGCGGGACCTTTCAATAAAGTCAGGCTTTTACTGATGTAAAGGTTTTTCTGTCAGTTGTACTCCTAACTCGTTCTACAAAATCAGTTACTACTTGGTTTGATATGAAGAACCCCCGCTATTCATGCAATTCTAGAAGTTCTTCTAAGAACGTGCAGCTGCGGTTCACCGAAACACCTGCTTCAGATGCCATGATTCAAAAAATCGGAAATTTATGGAACTATGACGATATGATCGTGGAAATAATCATTTCGCAATCTAACAATTACTACATAGAACGCTTCGGAGTTAATCATATTTGCAGGCAACATTACTGCGAATACACAATGACAAGTTCTTGTGAATCACGCGATATTTATGACATTCAGAATAAAAGAGTTTGTTAGCAGAGGCGAAAAATCCAAGCAGAAATTGAAAAACGTCAGCTTCAAGTTCAGACCATTTAGAGAGTTCCCGTTCATTTGAATGAAAAATCCCAAGATTAATGTTAGAAACCTACTTGTTGACCGCTATTGACTTGTACAATTACCACTTCCACATCTGATTGTAACCATTCAAATGAACAACTTCGGGGCAACTTTCACTGATAATTAAATCGTGCTTTTAAGGAAAATGTGAGGCTAACAGTTTCAATTCACTCATTAAATATTCATTATTTACTAAGTATTTACAAAAGTATCAAACGGTTCATGATCTATAAAAGTTTATAAGTACCCGAATTTCAAAAAAATTTGTTGACAATGAAAATGGTCTCTTAGCAACAGCAGATCTCACTGATAAACGTTCCTCATCAAACTCAAACTCATGAATGGAGAGGGAGGATGACCGTAATTGAGCTCCAGATACAGGGCTTGCTAGGGAAGTAATCGCAATATGGCCCAGAACCCTTTGCCATATAATGAAGATGGTCCACTCTATGTAAGTTATGAATACTTCAGACTAAAGTTTCTGAAATGGTTAGTCACTGTGACTATAGTGATGTAGAGGATTGATAACCTTCCTCAATCAAACCGAATTACTGGCTAGACGAAACAGAAACGGAAGAAGGGAATTCATGATAAGTAACATCATAAAGACGGGAAGATGTGAGGTATTGCAAATATACAAAAGGCCTCTAAAGTTTGATTTCGTTGAAGTTGAGCTAAACGTGGAGTTAGACTTGAAATAGGGAGTTTGAAGGTGCATAGAAGCTTCTCATCAGAGAATAAAGTGAGATGCCTCTTTCACCTTATTTGCAAGAAAGTGACTGATCAACGGGTTAAAGAATTCTGAGAGGACTGCGCTGGCTCAACCTGACTCAGCAAAATATTTGCACCATATTATGGAGAATACGAAAGGAGGGTTGCTCTAGGAATTCGTCGAGACAAGGATTAGTACTATGCTGCAGCCAGGGTCTGGGGCTACATGATAATTTCCGTTAAAAGTGTAGGAGCCTGGTTGGCATACTACTGCCTCAGATACGGAATATACCCCCAAACACTTGAAATGAGTTCCCCCATGAGATCTCCTTCTGATCTTCTACTAATGAATTATTCAAACTTGAGCTTTCTCGAGTAAAGATCGCCGATTGTCAAGAAATGGGAATAACTAGTCACCTGCTGAAGTACTGATTAGTCCCTCTGGGCTACAGGTGATCAGAGGTGGGTTCAGTACGAATATGAGCAGAGCCTGAGCTCTAAAGTAATCAGAATGCTTTAAAAACGGGACTGAACATAAAACATAGATTGAAATTCGGTCGGGCTTCAGCCTACTGCGATATATTTACTGGTTTAGGCTAACCGTTCGGAACCAGCCTCCGTTGAGGAACCGTGGGATTCAAGGTTAATTAATCCCAGTTATGCCGCAGCTGTTCTACGAATGCCACAGAAAAGCTGAGCTCTAAAAGTCGTACCACTTAGTGCAAGTCTTCAGAAAAAGTCTTAGAATGAAGTTTAACAGATAAAAAACCATTAGTACAACTGGAATCAATGCAGCATATTGCAAAAAAGCTCCAGAGAACAGGCATCGTTAGTCGTGTCTTTCATAAAACAGGGAAATTCGTAGGAGACGTCAGCAAAAATGTACATTTTTACATTTTACGTACAAGTTGAATGCAAACAGGTAACCTAAAAAAGTGGCGAAGTTCCCGTTCCACTATTTCTTCAAGAAGCACAGGCTCCCCAAGTAAAAATGAGATTACTCAGAACAAGTTCCAGCAAGCTTTTATACTGGGCGTACTCTGCGTTCACGCACCGGAGTATCACTCGGACTTACGTATAACTTCCCACCAAGTTTATTAGAAATGGAAGTTGTTTTTGTAACAAGCCTATGGTATAACAGAAAAATAGGCGTGTGCTTGACGTTGTACTTGTCAGGGGGTTTACAAGTACCGGGAAACTTGCGGGAATTCGTCAAGACTAGGTTAGACTACATAGATTGAAACAGGGGCACGTGCGAAATCTGAGAATGAGTAAAGTACAAGACCATCTCAATCATCAAATGGGATCTCTAGGTAACATAACCTTTAGGTTGTGGTACTTATAGGTAAAGAGCCATTCAACTTTGAGTAACACTAGGAAAGATCGCTACCCAGCCGTAAAGTACTACAAAGATGTTCCTTCATTAGTGCTAAGAANNNCTTCTCAATACTGGCTTGGATAAGTTCCCGGTT